CACACACACACACACACACACACACACACGCGCGCACACACACACACATACACATACACAGAGTGCCAGTGTTTGGCTTCGTGCAGTGTGAGTCAGGGGTCTTAGCAGAGGTGTTGGCCTGTTGTATCATTGTCCAGTAGAGCAGATGGAGAGGTTTTTTTTTTCACTCAAGGCATCTAATGGACCACAGAAAAACTCTTTTGTACTCTTTCGTACTCCACTGGATTCTGTCACTCACTTTCTCACACACACACACACACACACACACACACACACACACAGAGACACACACAAACACATTGTCTAACAGTACACTTGAAGATATAACACAGTTGAAAAGGCTGGTACAGACTGACATTGGTATAAATACAGAAAAACAGGAGGAAAGTTTGGGTTCTTGTTAAATTGGAGGAACAGTGTGAAGTTTCTCTCTGAGAGGTGAAAAGGTGACAGACAAGTAAAAAGAACAGACAGGTGCTCCGCTTCGCCTGTCTGTTACATAGTTGTGTGTTGACATGGATGCAATGTTAGAGACCAATGGATTATCCCTCCCTCTACCATTCTGCTTTTCTTCTTTTGGCTTGTTTCATTTTTTCTCCTTTCTTCTCTTGCTCACGTCTTATTTTTTATGCTTTCTCCCGTCCAATTTTTTTTGTCTCCCACCATTCTTACCTTCCTTCCAGGTGTTTTTCTTTATCCACCCATCCTCCTCCTTTACCATCTTTCTCCTTCTACACATCATTTAATTTCTCCTCCTCTCTTCTTCACTCTCAGTGATTTGAGGTTGCTATTGACAATTTGATCTAACCATCTATTTCTCCCCATCCATTTCTCAATCCCCCCCTTGGTGATAATACACGCTCTCCATCCATCTTTATAGACATGTATTGACCGAGTTCCCTCTTCATTGTTCCCTCTCTCCACCCCTTGCATGTTCTCACATTGATGGCTTTCCCATCATGCAAGTCTTCTGAAAAGAGCAGTCACACCTCCATCTCCTCATCCTCCATCCATCTTCCTTTTCTTTTTTCTCCCTCCACTCCCTACGTGTGTGTGTGTGTGTGTGTGTGCAGTCCCCACACACTGCAATGACTGCAGCCAATCCCATTAGCCAGATGAGCAGGCCTCCAATGAAGGGGAAAGCATAATGACAACACCAGCGTCTCTCTCACACACTCTCTCCCTCGCCACCGCTCTCTCTCTCTCCCCGTCTGCTCCATCCATTCATCCGTCACTCTCGAGGGTGTGTGTGTGTGGGGGGGGGGGATTTGGGTGTGTGTTATTCTCGCTGTGTGTTTGGGCTGCACAATTCGAAGCCTAGAGGGAGAGTCTATCATTTCATGTGTGTTTATTCAGGTGTGTTTCAGCGTACGATGTATGTGTGTTCATGAGTATCCATAGAAGGGAAACAGTCACAGTCGAGGATTCACTTCCTGCTGGGTCCACTGCCTTTAAAAACGCACACTCAAGGTAGTTGTAAAGCATTTTCGAATGAATCCTGTTCACCAAATGGTGGATTTCATGGCGTTATAGCTTGCAGCAGTCTGGGTTTGATTCCCAGCAGGGCGTCCTGAGCTGAAAATATACGCAGTCACGCCACTATAAGGTGCTCTGGATAAAAGTCTGCACTGATATAATAAATAAATGTGTGAATTTCTGTCTCTGTGGTGTTTGTACTTTGTAGTTTGAAAGATTGTGTGTGTTTTTATGCCCCATTATTCAATTTTCAAATGATCATTTAACATAGAAAATTATGAAACTCCAGTTTCCAAGTTATTCTAAGTTTGGAATAGAGGAGTCCTTCCCTCCTCCATTACCTGTGGGGTCATTACCTGTGGTAATGTGTTGATGCAGTGCACAGGGACAGTGTCTTTTCATCTCCCTAACTAGCCCCATTAAAATCCATTCAGCTAATGAGCCTTCACTCAGTCCTCTGGTGATTAAGACCTACCGCTTGATCTGTACAGCGCTCTCACCAATAGCCCCTGTGCTTTCATTTAGCACCGTTGTGACTCCATTACAGCATTAAGTACACACTGGCATATACAGCACACAATATAGGGGAGAGGGGGAGGATTTGAGCCTGTAGGGAAGTTTGATGAGCTTCACATACTGAAGTAGTAGTAGAAGTTGGTACTATATTAAACTGCTAGCACGACTTTAGTTGTAAACTGTTGGGTGATTGGGTGAAGGTTTTTTTAGTAACGTGATGATTTCCTGTATTTCATGACATCATGAAATGTGTTTATCCACATATATTTCACGATGTTGTGAAATGGCTACAAAGGATACTTGATTCTGATTGGTCACCATTTTCAACAATAGCAGCCTCGTCACGGTTCTAGTTTAATACTAGAGGTTTCCTCATTCCAGCTGTTCCTACAAGTAAATGAACATTTAAGACACAATGCACATATTTTAGCCACACTAGCTGTGTGGCTCTATGGATGGAAGTGCTGGTGTGAAGGAGCTTTGGTTCAGGCTGAAATATCACAACAGCTCCATACTTTGCCATAGTCTACACCATTGCTGACGTTTTTCTCCTTAAAAAATGTTAGTGGTACTACACCTCAGGGCCAGGGCTATGGAAATACCACGCCAGAACTGTAAATGCTTGTGTTTTCTTGTAGTTTCTGATGCCGGCGTGGAGATTTTTGAGAGCGGAGACAATGTTAAAGGTCTATTTATTGGCAGAAATTCAATATAATATAATATAATCATATAATCGATAATTATAATCGTCTTTTTGATACCTTAGAATGAGTTGTTTTTATCTACAGAGCTGCAGGTTGCCTTCTGTGGAGGCCGCCATGTTGAACCACCACGTTTCTGCAGTAGCTCAGTACAGACAAACCAAACACTGGCTCTAGATAGGGACGTTTTTCACAGCCAACGTAGTTTCTCCTACATGCTTGGAAAGGGAGGGTGAAGCAAGGGGGTTTCAATCTGCAATTACACTGCAAGATGCCACAAAATCCTACACACCAGACCTTTAAGGAAGTTGAAGAAAGGCTCAGCAATCTTCTATTTATAACACATATCTAATAAAGCTATCTCCACTGCAAACATTCTGCTGAACAAAGACTGACGCGCTCTATCACAGTGAATGAATGAACAGTGATTGCACAGGAGTAGTCTCCTATTCAGTAATGACACAAGGTGAAATAGAAGTTACCTGGATGTAACTCCAGATATAGGCATGTCCCACCGTCGCTCTATATCACACATTGAATGAAGGAAAAATACTGTCACTGTGGGAAATTTCATTAAAGCCTGATACAGTCTGACCACATACAATACATCCGTCTAATATTGCGGTGGTGCTATCAGTGGGTAAATCTGAAAACTGTAAATCAAAACCTCCTGTTAACCCCTTGTGTCAAGAGTGAACCCAGCTATACTCTGAGAGATTATTGTCATTACTTTTCTTCCAAGATGCCTCAAGTAAAATGTTCATCTCTCCCAAATGTAGAGAAATGCTGTAGTTTACCATTACCATATAGATGACTTCCATACATAGCTGCACTTCTGTGTACACACTCCCACACACACGCATATATAAACTCACACCTGTCCGTTTTTGTGTGACGATACTAACAAATAATCTGCAACAAAATGACAAAAACCAGCTACTCAAGCAAGGCAGCCACACCTGTAACACATGTTGATGATCTTGATGATGAAGGACACCACCTGAGTCTCTCATTCATTTATTTACCCTCCCCTCCTCCACCTCCAGTCTTACTCTCTTTTTCCCGACAATTAAATTCCCTTCACAAGTGCTTTGTTGGCAGGACCTCAGGGTGCTGTTACCAAGGCGCTTTTGATTTAATATGTGTCATGCATAGGGAAAATAAAAAAAAAAAAACAGGGAAAACAACAACAACAACAACATGCCTTTAGGTTTGCATGGAGCCTCACAGTAGGAGAGGGGGGCATTTGTCCCCGCAGGGCAGATTAGATGTGTGCACCCAGTGGGGGCACGAGGACACACCAGCACTCCATCGTCTGGGGGAGAAGACACAGCTTGAATACATAAATGAATGATCCATTTTCTCTCCTCCCGCTCGACATTTCCCTCACCCCTCTGCTGCCTCTCCACTGCGAGTCACTCCGGATTGGAGGGAGCTGTTCTTAAACTGTTGGGCCCTCTTGACTCCTCACCACTCGCTCTCGATCACTGTCTCCGTCTTGTTTTCGCTCCAACTTTTCTGACTTTTAAGTGACTCAGAGGGCAGATGGAAAAACCGAACTTTGAGCCAGATGGAGAAAGATTACAGTTAGACACAGTAGATGTCACTTTACAAAGAGAACACATGAGGAAGTTTACTACAGTCTTGCATTAAAGCGAGAGTATGTAACTTTTGAAAGTAAAAATAATACATTCTTCATCTTACAACTAAATAGTTGAATTCATAAGGGATTTATTCCTAAGAGTTCATCCATAAGAAAGACACTCAGGGATTTTGAAGCTGCAGTTTTACTTGGTCTGATGTGACCAGTAGCTAAAAGTCAGCTAATGTTAGAAAACTTGCATAAAACAGACATTGCTTAGTGAGTTTTCTGACTTCATGCAACTCCTCTATTTGAGCTACTTTTTCTTTATGTTTTAGCATGTACCATTATGCCATAAGGTTACAGTGGCTGCCGTTCAGTAAAGGTTTCACTTTAAGGATTCTGTATTAAATGGGTTCTTTGGGTTCGTATCACAGCAGGCACTCTTCCGCAGCTTTGAATAATCATCAGAGAAAGGGTTTCTGTAGGGAACTGTTAAAGAATTGTACAAGGATGTTTGAGCCAACTCACATATCAAACGATAACAACATTTTATCCCAAGTAGATGACTGGCTAAATCTTGACTGTTGCTACTTTCACTGCTTCTAGTTTTTAGTCTCTCATAAAGGTTTTGTAAAGCTGTTGCTGTGTTCAAAGAAGAATTACATCCAAACCAAATCTACAATGATGTAACGGACCCCTCCTTCTTGTTTCCTCTATCCCAGGGTTCTCCATAACTACATGCTATGGCGCATTGTGGCGGCGCTAAGTGAACACCTGTCCACCGCCTTCCGCAGCACCATCCACGAGTTTTCTCGTGAGATTGACGGCACCGAGCAGCAGCTGGAGCTGGGCAGGCTCTGCCTCACTCAGGCCAACAAACACTTCGGCATGGCCCTGGGAGCCCTGTTCGTCCAGCAACACTTCTCCTCACAGAGCAAGGCCAAGGTACGGGTGGGGATGAGCTAATGAATGGTTGGTGTGATAGTTGAGTGGTTTTCAGAGGAGATTTAAAATGTTTTACTTGAAAACCATTATACTACAAATATGTTAATAACATATAGAGTATCTCTGTCTCCCTCTTCACACCGCACAATGTTTATCTTCTTGAAACATACATTGACGCAGACGAATCTACGGAGCCCCTAAAGGGACATGGGGAAAAAAAAATAAATGAAACGTTTCTGGTGCTCACAAGAAAAGTATCTCGTGCTCACAAGATCGCCTTTTGACACATTACCTTGTTAGTTTAATACTTATTGGCTAAAAATGTGTGTCAAAATAAGTAATTTCATTGGTTACATTTTCGTGTGGCGACCTATCAACACATGGCTAATTTTAATATTCAAATGAGCCATGTGTTGATTGCCACCCTCATGCAGTTGCTACCACCAGGCTGTCAATCAAACTCTTAGCTAATGTCGGTTGTATAAATATGGACTTTTATTGTTGAATTTCTCCAAATTGGTGCAGTAAAAATGCTTGATATTAAGTATGTTTTTTATTCATCATGGTCGCATGAAACACTTTAATGTAACATATTCTATTTTAAATGTAGGTTTGAATTATAGCTTACTGTTCTTAATACATTTATTTTGAAAACCAGAAGTGATTAAGCTGTTTCTCCTCAATTACCATAATGCTGAGAATATATTATATTTAATAATTATTATATTCTGTAATTTGGAGAAATTCAACGATAAAAGTCCATATTTGTACAACCAACAACCAACATTAGCTAAGGTTACGTTCTCTCCGTTATCAGCACATGGCTCATTTGAATATTAAAATTAGCCATATGTTGACACGAAAATGTAACCAATGAAATTACTTATTTTGACACACATTTTAAGCCAATAAGTATTAAACTAACGAGGTAAAAGGCGACCTTATTTGTTATTTTCTCAAAAGGAGGACAAATGAGTGTCAGGCTTAATGGGGCGTTCGTTTTGTCTTGTAATCGCAACTTGCAGCTCAAGAGTGACGTCACATCCGTGTTTGAAAACGAGTAACCACGGGTATTTGCGTTCTGTTTGGCACACAACACGACGAGCTTGGTTGCAATAGGCAGTTTGGACGTTTCCTAACGTTTATAGTGATTATCTGGTTTACGGTGCACCCACCGCGGATTTCACATGTTCATTGCATATTACACAATCATCACAGTTTGATATCTGAATATTCCGTTTTGATTAACGTTAACGTTAGGCTACTGCTCTGCTTTCTGCTCAAGACTCGGCATTGTTGACATAGCAACATGGAGCGTCTCGAGCCAATTTCAGCTGCACAAGCTACAAAATAACTAATTAGGCGGTATTTAACACATAATAAGACTGTAGCGACATGCCTATAGGTAACAGTGTACAGTGCTGTGTGTACGACTTCTTCATTTGGTTACAACAAAGACAAAAGTGCTTAAAATAGTAGAAAGCCACAATGTTTACTACGTGTGATGCTCGGAGTAGCCATCTTGGTAACTGAACTCGGGGTCCTCTGGTTAAGACGACTTGACGAGTCGTATATACGGCCTTCCGGTTTGTAACTCAGGAAACTGACTCGCAGATTGAGTGAGCACCAGAAACGTTTCATTTTTATGTCCCTTTAGGGGCTCCATACGAATCAGACAAACATTTATTAAAAATTTACTTTTGAAAAATCCAAATTAGGCTTGAGCCCATAACTTTACAAAACAAAATGGACAAAATCTCACCCAATGACCAATAAAGGATTTGTTGGTTCAGGTCGAGTAGCAGCACTCTACTGTAATTGCATCTGATTCCATTAGCTGCACTGATGAAAATAAACTGTCTTCCTGAGGATGCAAATAGATGTTTTTTTCGTGATCACTGTTTTGATCAAATATACAATTTAAGAGCCATACTGACTCATTCACTGGGCTCGGATTTACCACACAAGAAAAAAGCATTTTGGAGGCTGTAGAGGAGAGATATTTCAGACATTTAAGATTTTTAAGAGCTCATTTTGAGCAGCAATTTTGCTGTGAGATTGAACTGTGTCAAGTTGTTATTGCCAGATCATTACTTATTCAATGACGGTGTTTCCATCTCTACTCAGTCTAAAAAAGTACACTGTAATGAGCAATTTGTCTGCAATTTGCATTGACTGATTTCAAAGACCCCAAACCCCCAAAAATGGCCTTGGCCTTGAATTGAATCTTATGATATGACTGTACTTACTACTGAAAACAATATTTTATATTATTTATATCATCTGAGACATTTATAATCCTGGAAAAAAAAACATTAATTTCAAGACTTTTCCACATTTTCCATTAGACTGGATCTGCACTTGTTTCTTTATTTTTTTTTTCTTTTTCTTTTCTAGTTCCTAATTTTTTTTGGCTCCACAGGGACAGTGTAAGGGGGTCCAGCTGTGTTTTTTGACATTGCTAGATGGTTTTGATGGATTCCTGTACTGGGATCTGGAAATACCATCCATGTCAATCAAAACTGTCTCCGTCTCCAGTCTCTACCGCAGGTTTTATTGTTTCTATTTTGGTCTCTGCCTAGGTCAGTCACTACTAATCCCCCTCCTATGCCCTTTGGTCCCTCTCTCTTTCACCTTAATCCGCCCCCGTATGTATTCTTATCTCAATCTCATGTCCATTCCAGGACATGGGGATATGGTTCCCAATGGGATTTCTAACCTCTGTAACCCCATGCTCTTTCTTTAAGCCCTCCATCATCTCCCTTTTATCGTCTTCTTCTTATACTCTCACAGTCCACCCTACATGCTTTATCTTACATTGAGCCGCCTTTCTTCTTCTCTTGAAAACTTTTAAATCTCTGCCAAGGCTCAGGACTATAAAGCATAAAACAAGTCTGACACAACTGAAAGTTCTTGGTGCTAATTACTTTCTATGTACTGTACCTTAATTGAAATTTAAGTTCCCAAGCTCCTAATGTTCCATTTAAGATTCTAATAAGACACTAAGTGTAAATTTCAATAATGCTTCAAGCTAGTGGAGCATTTCTGATTAATAAAAGAATAGAAATGTATTAGGATCAGGTCTACAGTCTGGCAGGTTTTTGCCAGATAAGGTGGGTGCTAATCCCATAAGCATCTAAATCATTCAAACCATCAACAGTGTTTGTCATCCTGCAGAGGTCTATGTGGGCAGGATAGAAAGTTCCGTGCTGGGTTACTGCATTTTTGGTATTTTCCATGTTCACACTGATCATTTCACATTGCTGGTAGGCATCAGTCTGTACTAAGTTGGCATGTCCACACAGGTCGGAGACCTCATTATCAATACGAGAGATACCGGCCTCGATGCCGGTGGCGATGTGTGAAGCCTTGACTGACTCACTGACGCTGCTTACCTCAGCATGAACAGGAATTAATGAGTCTCAGGAGCTGCAGCTGAGAGACGTGAGACAGAGACAGATACAGAGTGGGAAAGACAACCTTTCTTGTTATCCTGAATCACCAATGTAGAGGTAGTGGAAGGACACACCATGTCTCAGTTGTCCCTTAGTTAGGAGTATTCCTGTTTACAGTAGTTTAAGAAAGTCCCAGTATAATTCCTTAAAAGTTACTTCGGGTTTGGACAGCAAATGTTCCTCAACCCTATCGCCAGAAAGAATCACTGATGTTGGATGAATCTACAAATTACGTCCGCTGCAAATGTTTTTCTAATTCTCACTCTTGGCAATATCTGTGCAGGGCAATTATGTTAAGGTTTAAGTTGGGGAAAGAATATCCTTACACTCTACTTTTCTGCATAAAAGGCACACTACTGGTTGCTTTGACACAGAACATATTTTAATGGATCGGTCTCAGCTAAAATAAAGCCTCAAAATCTGATCCTTTCTTTACTGAACTCTACTGTTGTGCTCTACCGCTGTTACATATGCAAGTGCAAATGCCAACGATCTGACACCCCTCCTCTCTCTTTCTCCCCATTGTCGACCGAGTAGCTTGATTGCAGGCAAAAGTGTTGTTGGGTTTTGATCATTTGTGAGGGAAGACAGTCCACTCTGCAACTGCTGTACAACTGCGACTGTTTTTGTAGGTCCAGCAGCACCGACAAAGTAAAACCATCAGATGGATCAAGTAGTTTGTGAAAAATGAGGTGTGACAAATTTAGTAGCTACAGCTGTTATTTCAGTGTTCCAGATACGTATATATAAGTATCAGACTCTGTGCTCCGACGTTCCTAGTTCTCCTTATTTGACCAACAAAAACAAGCATGCAGAAGTGAAAAGAATCTGCTTATATTGGTGGGGGAATTGGGTGATTAAGAGACATTTTAATTGCATTTTGAGTCTGTTAAGAGGAGCAAAAGGCACTCTTTAGGATATACCCCCAAGAAGTGTATTATAACTAACTGGGAGCTCTGGCCATTAGCTGCAGGAACTCCAGTTTGCTAGCACTGGTTTTGGTCATTGTTTTTCCTATTGACAGTACTCGGTGACATCTAGTGATCAAGACTCGGGTAAAAATCTGCCGAAGTTCCCCTTTAATGCCAATACAGACCACAAGTCAAAGTGTCCCATTTCAGTCACTTTGACTTGCGTTGGTGCTCACACCTGGATAATAGAACCGTGTGCCATGCTGTTTTTGAAATGAAATCGAAATTCAGTGATGGTTGAATGCTTCGACTTGTGGTTTGTGGTGTGTTTCAGTGGTAATTATATATTGGACTTTGGGAATTCACATTACACACAACTGACATCAGAAACTGCAGCAATGGGACTACAAAGGTGGAAGAAAATCCACCATCTGATATAACAAAAATCCATATCATCAGTTAGCAAGACAAGCACCATCTGCTGAAGTTTGTTCATGCTTGAACTTATACTCTTTAATTACACCTTTAAATGTTTGGATTTGGAGAATTCCAAAAACTTCAAACGTGACTTCAAATCTTTTTTTCGTTTTTCTCTATAACATAAATTATTCATGAATATTTAAAAATACTTTAAATAGTAATTTAACAATTAATCTACTTTCTCAGTTTATTACACTATGTATTGATCCTGGCCCAGAGAAAATCCTGTGATTCTTCTAGACACATTGGTTCTCAAAGCTGCTGCCTTCAGGACAGGCCAAAGGTGCCGTAAAATGTATCATATCATTCACATTTATTGTACGATTTGAATAACATTTCCCCACATTAAAAAACTGACAACATTTACATTAACTACATTGTATGTTACGTTCTTTGGGAGTTTTTTAGTTGCTCAGCAGTCAGAAAAATAGCGAATGTCAGCAGCGATGGAAAGATTTGACAGAGTAAACAGAGCTCAATAATGTGGATACATCTCAGCCCTTGACACAGTCTGACAGGACTGAATCTGAGCCCACCAACAAAACTAAAATCTAATTCAACACTACTTGGTCAACAGCTTAACGGGCAGGTTTTGGCTGCTTGTGGGAGATGGATATCCATCATTGTCAGATAGCACATTCACTGTGGTATTGCGTGATCCCAGCTTCTTACAGTATGTCTGATTTATTTTTCTCCTCTCTGGTATACATGAAAACAAGACAAGAAAGTGCCTGTCAGAGGAGTCAGACCTGGGGGTTGTTATTAAAATACCTGCAACCCTTTCTTGTTTTCAAGTACATGATATCACATTTTTCCTGCCCACTTCAAACCAGTTAGAAACACAAATACAGAAATCTTTCATGTGAACTGTAACTAATGATATAATAAGTGTGTTCATGTAGGCCTCCATATTTCATAGTAAGACGCTGACTAAGAAAATACGTTTTAGGGCCTTCAGAACTTCTTCCAATATGACTGTGTTCTCCCTCCAGGTACAGGAGCTGGTAGAGGACATTAAGCACTCCCTGGACCTACGGCTGCACGAGCTGGACTGGATGGATGAAGCCACCAAGGAAGCTGCCAGAGCAAAGGTTCGGGGGCCTAACTCAGCTTGTGCATCAGAAACGAGACTCCCTGCCAGATCCGATTAGTATTTGAAAAGAATTTAATTATTTCTTCGCAATTCCTTTCTTTCCGGGCCTTTGATTGATTGCTTGGTTAGATGGAAGTGTGTGATAGAATACATCAAGGGCTTGACATTGAGAAGTGAGGATCGCCTAATCCGGATCTCTCTGTGGTGCTGATTTAGGGTCTGCACCGCAAGATATCCCTTCTAATACTTTTACAATCTGAAGTTATAATCCTTTTAGAGGGCCATGGTGAATATAAAGAGCTTCCCTGTAATCCTATTACATTGGGTTTGCTTGATTAGTTGATGCGTGTGTGTGCATGCTTGGATGGTTGTGTGCCTGGGTCCAAAAACGAGTGCGTATGAGTAGTTATTAGTTACTGCAAGTGGATGTGGGGTGATGTTGGACCAGTTGTTTCTCCTCCACTTTCTCCTTCCCTCATCACACTCTTTTCTTCTTCTCTCCCAAGCTGAAGCACATGATGGTGATGACAGGATACCCAGACTTCCTGCTCAAACCTGAGCTCATAGATCAAGAATATGGGGTGAGTCATGAGCTTCCTATTTCATTCTGCGCTGTCTGGTCATCCTCACCCACACACACAAGCCCCCACATGTCATGCGAACGAATTCCACTTTCTGCCTCTAGAATCTGTTAGATAGAAGAATGCATCATACACAGTAAATAAACCTGAAACACACTGATGAGACTGATCACATACTTTAAGTACGTTGATACAACCAGGAGGCCCGTGTACATAAAACTGGGTAGCAGGCAGCTCAGCTGTCAAAAATATGCAATCAAGACTCTGTTGATGGAAAACTAGTGGAAGCAGCTTTATAAACAGATGTAAACTATAGATTCAGGGAGAACTGGGAAGAGTTGAGTATTGGCTTAAATGTGAGTGGAAGCGTAATCCAAATTTCAAATCTGTAAACTGATGCATCATGAAGATAGACTAATAGATAGACAGATAAAGACTGGTTTAGAACTCCTACCTACAACGCGCAAACCTTTTGCACTATTTATATTTTATTTCCACTTAAGTAGTTTAGTAGTTTTAGTTTAGTTTTAGTTTTTTTTTTTTTTTTAGTCAAGTTTAATTTTCTGCTCATATTTTGGACTCCATGTCCTACTTGAACAACAAATAGTGTATATACTTTAATTTATAGTTTTTTAATTTTCTAATATTAATAATATTAGCAATACTTTTACTGTGATTTTGCGCTGCTTTGCCCTATTGCTGCTGTGTCAAAATGAATTTCTCCTTAGGGGGATAAATAAAGGAATTATCTTATCTTATCTTAAGGTGCTGCTCAAAGTAGGATAAGTGATTCTGTTCCTCTCAACAAAGTCCTATTGAAACAGCCCACATCTGTAGTGAAGACTAACTAATTATATTTTGTTGTATTCATTCACAATTTAAACCCTGGGAACCGTTAAGGCTTCCCTCATTTGCAGTGATGTACAGAGAAATACACAAGAGCACAATACCCTTCCTAAGCCACACCCTTTTTGCTCTGTGCTCCAATAACACTTGAGCAAGCCTCGGCCAGCTTTCTCCTCTCCTGTTCTTAGATACGCAATGTGCTAGGCTCGTCTATGTTGAGAAGTCAGTCAAACTTTAGAGATGCTTATAAGATAAAAGCAACATATAAATATTCAAAACCTAAAGTTAGCTTCTGTTAGCAAAACATTAGCTAACTAGCTAACAAACAGTCGACATACTTTAGCTCGCTCGTTAGCTAGCGTTTACTAACACCAGCTTTTAGATGTAACCATTGACCGCATATATAGTAACTGTGTATGTAACTCGCTAGCTAATGACGCATTTAGATTAGCTAGCCAGTTAGCTAGTGTTTTACTCTGTAGCATCTTCAGAAAGGGGTTGTCTTGAGAATGTATTGGAGATAATAGCATGAGTTTGGTGCACAAAATCTAAAGGCAGATTTTCCAAATTCAGAATAAACCCATGGGACTTGAAGTATAGGACATTTAATAGAGTGGGTTTGATGGGGTCCTGTGGTCCAGTCCAGCATAGATGTTATATAGGGTGGTGAATGTCTAATAAGGGATTTATGGATGAAAAGATACATGTGTTTGCTACGCCTCCATGCCAGAGAGGACCAACCAATTTTGTTAATGGGGAGTGTCACAAGAATCTCCGGTAATGAATCTGAGAGTCTGAGAGTCTGAAAGCAGCAACATGTCTGTATATATATCACCATAGGACTGATAGACAGACCTCAAATATACTTTTCCTACAATTCAAAGGGAAGCTTGGTGTGGAGGACTTAAAAGGCACAGTTATGGTCAGCTCACAGCTTTTAATCACAACTACAGACAAGCAAAGAGTTGCTTCACCTGTGTTACTGGTTCCTTTCCTTAAGTTAAAAGTTCCCAGACTCAGCAGTGGGAGGTGGGTTTGGAAGCTCTGTTAGTGGCACATTTTCCTCCATCTGCTGCCACAATCTTAAATAATGCTTTGCACAGATGTGCATTTTTGTCACAAGCTGACAGAGGCACATCTGGCCCTGTGAGACTAAACAAGCAAAAAACAAACAAGAACGATGATGTGTTTACTGTCAGTTTAAAGGATGGAGATGTTACAAAAAGCGAGTTACATTAAATTATTTTGGCAAGTGAACAAAACCTGTTTTTAATCTGTGTAAAATAAACCACTGCAAATGCATTTTAATGTTAGGCACTAGCAGCACAAAAAGGGGAATAGCCCTAACACACACTGAGTCATTAATAAGTTGTGTCACGAGCACCACAGATTAGCACTATTTACAACCTAACAGCCAATTAGTTGCTGATTTAGTTTCTCTGTTCAAACCAACTCACTTCACACATCCACAAACATCCAGCTGAAGGAGTAGTTTGACATTTGGGAAATCGCATAGTCGCTTACAGAGAGGTAGATGAGAACCAGTGTACTGTAATTCCACAGCTTTTGGTGGTAACTAGTATTGTTACAAATTACATTTTCAAATTAAATAATGCAATTACAATTACTGAAATTTAAATAGGCTTGTTACTAATCTTAAAAGTATGAACATTACTTATTGCCGCCCTCTGGTGGTCAGGAGTGTTAACAACTAGATACACATGTACGTTATAAAATATAAAATATGACGCCACAGCCATCAGCTGGTAAACTTAGCTTAGCACAAAGACTGGAGGCAAGGGGAAACAGCTCCAGATGGAGCAGGGTAGCTAAGTTAATGACCTGCTAGTTTTAGCTTTACATTAACCCAGAGAGTGCTATCAGTCTTCACATCTAACTCATACAGCGTACAGACATGAGAGTGGTATCAAAATTCTTATCTTAATGTAGTGCTTTTCCCAAAATGTTAAACTACTCCTTTAATAAGCATACAGAAAAGGTGTTCACACTCACACTCACTTCATCTGTGTGGTTTTACAGTTTGATGTGGATGAGAAGACCTATTTCAAGAACATCCTGAACAGCATCAAGTTCAACATCAAGCTGTCGGTCAAGAAGATCCATGAAGAAGTGGACAAGACAACGTGAGTGCCACACCTCCTCATATTACACAAGCTACACTACCCAGCTCTCTGAGCTTACTGACACGCAGAGCAAAGCAATTAAAGAAGGTTAATATATCTGAAATCCAGTCTGAGCTCATGCAGCTGAGGCTCACACCGGACTTTGCAGTCACACCACTGTGAGTGTCTGTCTTTCTAATATGTTTGACATGCCTAACATGTGTCCCTGTGAATCCCTTTTTAGTTTGACATATTTGTTGATGCGCCTCTAAATTAAACAGATACCAAATCGACACACACAGCTGGAGAAAATCCATTTGATTTACTTATCTGTAGCAGCCAGGCAGCAGCAAAGTGCTGTGGGACATGCGGTTCATTTTTCTGAAATACAGCCCTGTACACCCGGATTGAGTGATTCTCTGCTATGACAACACATTACAGTCACATTAGTATTCCAAGGTACTCAAAACAACTGTATCATTAGCCCACACTCAATGCCCTGAAGAGTTAAATCACATACTCCCCCTTTATCACCAAAAAGTGAACCTTTCATCACTCACTCTGTCTTGTCGTTAAGACAAAAATAAAAAACGAAACACTCCTCCTCCGTCTCACTGTTTGTCTCCCCTCTATCTCTCCGCAGTCCATGCAGAGCCATCAGTCTTTTGCTACTAGAACAAGGGCATCTCACACTTTCAGAGTTAGTCATTTGGGGGATTTTGTGCCCATCGATTGGTCTGGCTTTAAGTGGATTACCATAAAGGAACTGTCCGCGGTTTCATATGCAGAGAGGAACTTTGGCCGTGGGACCACACACACTGAATATTTCTCACCAGGGGGTTCAGAGAGAGATAGAGGTGTTTTCGGATTCTGTCCAGGATCGGGGTGGGTTTCGAGTAGGTAGATTGGTGATTTGAGTGTGTGTGTGTGTGTGTGTGTGTGTGTGTGTGTGTGTGTGAGAAGGATCCCATCTTTAAAACCCTGTTGTTTGACACTGTTTTTCTCCCTAGGTGGCTTCTCCCCCCTCAGGCCCTTAATGCCTACTACCTCCCTAACAAGAACCAAATGGGTGAGTGCGTGACTCTTCATTGTACATACTGATATTTGTGTTCTCTCTGTCATCTGTCTCCCACACACACACACACACACACACACACACACACACACACACACAATCCGTCCCCCATTGCCATTCTGCACCACGACATGGGCCGCGCATTAGTTACACGCAATTACACCATGTTGCCGCCTGTTTTCGACAAGTCAAACGCGACGGCCGCTTAGAAAAAAGCATCCACCTCCTCATATCATATTCCTTCTCATCGCTCACCTTCTACTTCGATCTCCACCTCACATACATAATACCCCCCTGGAGGAAAAACAAGCAGTAACACCTTCCCGAGTTTTAACAAATCTAGCCTTGCGATGTCAACCCCCCCGCCCCTCTCCCCCTCTCCCTCCCTCCTCCTCTCCTCGTCTTCTCCCAGGATCCGTGTCTGTCTGCCTGCTGGATTAAATCTCTCGCAGAAAAATCAATGGCGCACTCGCAAGCTGATGCTAGAGGACAGGAGGAGTCAGACAAACACAGTCATCAGAGCCCTCTGGGTCATTATTTTTAACCCACACACACATTATTTCTCTTATTTAACCCGACCCCTTCAGCTCTCAGCTTTGTATTCATTTTTTATATATTTTGTTTTATTTTTTTTATTTTATTAAATTAATATTGCCCATTTATGTTGCACCTCCATCTCTTAGGCTTCTTTTATTTCACAACTAACATCAGGTTGCATTTGAAGATAAAGAGACAAGGACAGAGGTTTAATTAAAAGAACAGAACAGTTATTTTATTTCTCCTGATGAGCACCTTTATTGATACAGTCATTACTTTGATATAATTGGCTTGCAGTCAGTAAATGACTGATTTCACTCACAATGATAATGTTAAACCCTGAATACCTATATGTTAACCAACATACTGCCAATGCTGCCACTATAATTATTTGAATTACTGATTTGTTTTTCATAAATCGCTTTGTCTATAAAATGTGAAAAATATGAGCAGTGAGTCTACAGGCCGCTGTATAGGCACACTGGTGCTTTGAGCTAAATACCAATGTACACATAATGATAATGATAACATGCTGATAATTAGCAGATAAAGCTAATAAGCAAATAAAGTTTACAGTCCTAGTTCTAACATTTGCCAATTAGCACTAAATACAGAGTAGGCTGATCATTAGCATTGCAGATAGACAGGATGAGTGAAAGCTCTGACCAGCTGGTGATCACTAAAGGACTCATCCTCTGGGGACCATGAATGTTTGTACTAAATATCATTTAGTCTATCCAATAGTTAAAATATTTCAGTCTGGATTAAAGTGATGGACCAACCAACTGACATTGTCACTCCCAGAGCCGCACCGCTAACATGGCTGAAACAAGTTCCCAGAATCCAAAGTGGAGTCTTAAAAGGGCTTGCTTTGTTCAAACAACAGTCAAATCTCAAACATATTTCTTCAAATTTAAGAAGCTGGAACAACACATTTTTGGCAATTTGCTTAATTCTGTAGATAACTTAAATTATTAATTAATCAATTATCAAAATGTAGATGGTTCATTTTCTGTCTGTTTACGTATTCTTTCCACACTTCATTCTTTTCTTCTGTTCCGGCATATTTTTATTTTCCTACTTTAATGAACAGTTTTGAAGGTTCTGAGACAACAAGCAGCTGACATTCTGCAGCTACTTCATGATAATAACCTCAAATAGTGGCAGCAGCAGGTGGTGACAGGAGCCAACTTTTTGAATTGATTTAAGTTTGAAAGGGTTCAAGATATACTAAAGATTTTAATAAACCAAATGTCTTCTTCAGGGAGTAGGATGGTGTGGAAGAGTTTGAGAAGTTGAGCTATGGTTGGTACATGCAGCTTCCTCAGGATGAAGTGAGAACGCGCTGCTGTTGAGTATTTTGCTCTCACTGTGTACTGTGTAAAGAAATACATTTGGAGAAATAGAGAGACTTTCTGCCGCTGTCCTCTATAGCAGTTGCACTGACACTTGGGATGGAGTATGGATGTTTGCATTAACATCCTGCTAGTGTCGCTTTGAGTTGTCTGTGTTTCCCATTTCCTCCTTACTGTCATTCTCCCTCTAAAGGAGACTGTATCAATGTGCTCACTTTGATTTTAAAAAACCCATTTCCATTTACATTGTAACCAGGGTACTGTGATATTAATAGAAGTTGTATCTGGACATTTCCACTTTTCCACTGTTGTTTCTTTATCTCTCTCCCAGTGTTTCCTGCCGGCATCCTTCAGCCCACTCTCTACAACCCTGAGTTCCCACAGTGAGTATAGCCCTCCTCCTGTCCCTGCCTTTCCCTGCTGCCCGCTCCACAGGGAGGCAACAAAATCACCACAGCCACAACAACAAAGGTCATTAAAGGCTATGTTAGTCTGGCAAGCCTCTGCATCCCTGAAGTCCCAACACACCTGATTAAACCAATTTAACTACCCACCAAGAGCTCAATTACTGAACAAGGTCCTGCTAATGGAACAGGTGTCATTGAGAGGTTGCCTCCCTAAATTTGAGTCCATCGAGTAATTTGATGGCGCATGAAAGTAGATAGACTCCCGTCTGTCTCTCTCCCTCTTCTATTTATCTCACTTGTTCTCTTTTCTGGTTCTCAAATAAGCTCTTTGTGATTCATGCATTAGAGTCACAGCATTATTGAACAAAGCTATTCATAACTTGAAATTAGTCACATTTAAATCCGAACACAAATGATTTCTCTCTTCAATTGTGCATTTTAGATAGGAGCTCTTATGTGGGATATTTCATCATGGCCAATAATATTTTTGTGGAATACAGCTGCTGATAGGCAATACGGCACTTTGTGACAATATATAGTAAAGATCAATCATCTTTATGCCAAACAGGGAGCAAGTATTTTCCGCACAGTTTCACTCTTGTCAGTGTGGAAATTACTTTGAATTAACATTTCAGTCATTATAAGCACTGAAATCCAAGCGTATGAAAATGACTGCAGCCGGACTAAAATGTTTTTATACTAGTGTCACTACAGATACCAACAACACTGAAGTAAATATTTGCCATTATTATAGAATCATCAGCAACTGATACCTAATTTTGAAATGTAATCACTAGTGCATACATTCAAGAGTTCACTGCACTGAAATATCACTGATATCCAGGCACAACTGCTCATCCTTCACATACTGGATGTCCAGATTACAATTTGACATATTGAATTTTAGAGTTTGAATTTGATCAGGACGGTTTGAGCAGCTGGATTGATCTGAATTGATCTTTGAAGCCCAACAAGGAACTTTCATTTTGTGTTGACTCTGACGTCCCCCTGTGGACAGAAGCAGTAGTGTTTCTACCACCTCGTTTCATTGATTTCAAGGGGAATCCGATAGCAGGCATTAAGAGTACCTACTTTTCTTTTTCATTAACTGCAGCCATTTTTCAACACATTAATTCAGTAGAGATCAACTAACTAGTAGTTATTAAGTCTCCAGTGTTGACATTACACCCTAACTGAGAATTTACACAAAGCCGGTGCAACCCAGCTTTGGAACAAGCCAAAGAGGTAAAACAAAAGACTAAATCAGAACTCTAATTTAGCTACATTTCAGTCCAGAAAGGTATTCAGTTTCAATCCTCAGCTCTAAAGATATAACAAGATCAACAGCAATCATAATAAATTAAGATGATCAAAATGTCCAACTAGAATATATTCAGGTCTGGGCCTCCAATAGACAACCAGTGTAATGGGGTTTACACAACATTAAGTGCATCATAAACATGATCCAGAAGTGGAGAAACTGACTGACTCATATTTCATGGTGATGAATACATAAGCCTTTTTCACAGCCGACATTTTGATGTTACAGTAGGAAAACCACAGGTGTTACTAATAACATTAAGAATGGCTCCGTTCTATTCAAGTGTCCCAGTAAGCCATGACGGTATGACAGTGAGCCAGCATGTACAATACCTGGACCTTGAAACTGAAGTAGCTAAATGGAATTCAGCCATCATTCATTTTATTATTCACACCTGTGCCTTTTCTACTGTGACATGTAAAAATGTGCTCAGTGAAAAAGGCCTTTTAGAAGGCTTCTGTATCTCTAGCCTTTTCTAATCTTTGCAGGACAATGCAGCAGCTTTACTTCTTTTTCTCTGTTATATACGGTGTATAATATACTTAATTAATAATTTACAACTGTATCATATTACTCCCAACCATTTATCAAAGCATACTATACGTTTATAGGTTGAGTTCCTACCTTCTAAGCCACCATCATTTCCCTTTCATTCATTCATTCAGTACATTGTAAAAATCAGCACTTGGGTGACAGAGTTATGTTATTAACATGAGTTAATGCAGCTGTTTTGAAAAAGACTTTCATGAAAGATGTGCAAAGATCTGAATTACTTTTTCTACTAAAATGATCAGCAGCTAACTCAAAATGTCAGATGTAGGAGTTTCCCCTTTACATTTACAATTGGCAACTGAACAAACTTTGATAATAAAGAAAACAAATTGTTTACAGTGATGGTCTACTTGTCATAAGTATTAACTCTCTGCAAGTTAATTTTCATACAATACTGACATCGATTAAGGGTCCAGTGTCTAACATTCAGGCACAAATTGAATATAATATTCATAGGTATGTTTTCATTTGTGTATAATGAAAATAAGAATCATTGTGTTTTTGTTACGTTAGAATGAGCTGTTTTTATATTGACAGGAAGCGGGTTAGGCCATGTTGAACAGCCATGTTCAACAGAAGGGACAAACCAAACACTGGCTTTAGATACAGCCTTTCACGTTTTGCGGCCTCCATAGTTTCTCCTACACACTTGGAAGGCTGAGCTGTATTAAAATTGAAACCACTAGATGCCACTAAATCCGACACATCCTTTAAAACTAAATGGCTGGAGGGTAGGACATTGATCCGAAATGTTTGGTGTGTTTGGAGAAACCAAAGCACTACAGCACTGAGGAAAAGATGGTTTCCACTGAACATACCTTTTGTTCACCAAAGCTATTCACTGAGGAGCAAACATGCTGCTGCCAGTACTGAGTATTATTCCAATCCAAGCCAACACAGTACAGTCCAAATAGCTGCACCTCCTGCCTTCATATCAACTCCCCTGAGAAACCACACACACACACACACACACACACACACACACACACACACACACACACACACACACACACACACACTTCTCAATTAGCAGTTTGTGTACCCAACATTAGCTAACACTTCTATGTCTTCATTAGAGGTGATCTCCTCTACTTCCACTACCTGCTCCCATGCATGCTAATCAATATTAATTAATGATGTAGTAAAGTGAAGTGTGTGTGTGTGTGTGTGTGTGTGTGTGTGTGTGTGCGTGTGCCTGTCCTCTTGAAGTTATTACTGCAGTAGCCCTAACCTCCTATAAACTCTCACTCTCTCACTCCCACACACACACACACACACACACACACACACACACACACACACACACACACACACGCACCTCGCCGCTATCACGTCGAGTATAATGAAGCTTCAATCAGCCAGTTAGTTTAGCGGGGGAGTCGGGGCCCAGTGTGAGGCAGCGTATCGACTAGCTGTCAGAAAGTCATTTTCAGACGTAGCCATGTGAATAGCCCCAAGTCTGCCCTCTCATCGCTCTCTATATCTGCATGTGCTGCAAAGACAGCGCCCCAGCCCAGCCCAGGGTCAAGGAGAGGTGGAGCCACCCGCTGCTTTTTGGGCCAGTGGGTGCTTAGACAAGTGGGACGTGTTACAGGGTGCTGTATTTTGTATCAACAACTTTAAGAAATTAAGTTTTATGTCCACACTGCAGCTGAAAGGTCCCCCGTGCTGACTTCTTCCCTCACATTTGAAACGGATATCTGGTATTTCCTAATCAGTGTGAACAGAAAAACGTGGCATTGAGCTTCTTTTTATTCAATACCAATCTGAACCACGTGGATCCAGAATTAAATCCCAAGTGCGACGTGTGTTTTGTCTGGCTCAGCTGAGCAGAATTAGCAATGAAGACAATGGGACAAAACAGAGGAAAAGAACTCCACAGAGCAGACTGTAATGAGACACCTCACATCAGTAAAAAGGCATATGGCTTTGTTCTAAAGTGAGTGGATATGCATAAGGACCAAACTATGTCATGCAAACACACTTACTATAATAGTGAAACCACAAATCATATAGTATTTATATTTAATCTCATCGTACATGTGTACAGTGACAATAAAGGCATTCTATTCTATTCTATCTTTTTCTTAATGGATATTACTACATTTAAAAAAGGCCCCTATTTTCATGATATATGAAGGCCCCTAAAGGTGTAAACAACCTGTTAAAAACCTTTAAGTGATAGTTTAACATTTTGGGAAATGTGCTTCTTTGCGAGAAGTGAAGCCAATGCAAGTGCCTTAAATCTGCATTCTTTCTAATGGCCAGCAGGGGGCAGCTCTATGGGCTACAGAACTGTGTTTGTATTCAACCTAATGGCAAAATGATCCTACTTCTCACTTGATTTAATAGCTCAGTAAAAGATTTCCCACTGAGTTTACATACAGCATGATTCTGGTACTGCGTTACCTATTTCTCACCTAAAATGTTTACAGAAAATTAAGCATAGCGTTAGTTCAGGCAGGCCACGAAGTCAGGCTCAGCTCTCAATTCCAGCTATATCAGCTGATCACAGCTAATCGAAACACACATCAGCCGATGGCTCAGCTGATTCCTCTAAGCTTCCTATTGGAAACCATACACAGTCAGCTGACAGCTCAGCTGATTCCCTCAAGCATCCAATTGGCATATCATTCATGGTGCCTGATTTAAGCTGCTTTAGCCTGCCTATCTTTACTGCTTCCTCTACAAGCCGTCTTGCAGCCCACCTCCACCCCAGCTCCTCCTTTTTATGTTGTATCTAAATAATCAACGTCATTTTCTGATTGCCATTGATGCTTGCTCTGTTCTGTACCCTGGGGGGTCTCTGCTGCCGCTCTCCTTGTCTTAAACTTCTCCATGTATGCACACTTTGGAATTAAAGTTATTTTGACAAAAGTGCTCCTGACTGAACTATTTTAGTCTACATTTTCCTACTTGAAAACAGAGGCTCAGAAAAACTGTTAAACTAGGCAGTGCTGATCAAATATGAATCAAGATTCTGTTACTCCGTTGACTATTTCTCGCCTAAAATCTTTTCAGAATCATATTTTAGCGTACTGTTTATCAGTAATACAAGAAAGTGTGTGACCAGAGAAGCCGTCATTGTTTCCTGCTATGGATAAGTTGAACCTAAGCAGAGCCCAACACGCAGTACGTCACAACTGCAACATGGTCAAAAAGACAAACCTTGAAGCTCAAAATGGCACTCTATGATGGGTTCACATTTGGTTTAGACTGGAAGTGGGGGGAAACAGCTAACCTGGCTCTGTCCAGAAGTAACAAAATCCAGCATGTTTAAAGCATCTCATTTGTTTAACAAGAACCAGGCAACACTCCATATCTCTCCTTTCTGCTGCCAGGTCTCTGAACTACGGAGGAATAGGGGCTATCATTGGCCACGAGCTAACGCATGGATACGATGACTGGGGTAAGAATGGCAACCTCCTCACCCATAATCCATTGTAACAATGCTCATACACCCATATGTTTTCACCATTTTGAATAGTACACCCGCAATTGCACTTAAGTACTCTATTTGACAGAGAGAAAGGGGTTCCCTGATGATTTGTGTATATTTATGACATTCATAGGATGCCCACAACTGTACAGCAGAGACTATTTTGAGCCACAATCTCTAACTTTCATCTCCAGTCTAAAGTGCTGCCCTTTAAGATACATCAGAAGAATTTAAAGAGGGTGTGAAACTTCAGCCAGCCACCTAACCAAATGCTGGAATAACTTTGAGTGTGAGTGGAAGGACTGTGCACTACCTGCTTCTTTGGCAGACAGTCAACCATCCTTTTTATTTTACAAATTTAGCTGGCTGGAAAAGCAGTTCAATTGGCTCTTGAACTGGATACATCAGCCAAGGTCAGCCCTGGGTTTAACAACACTTTGCCTTCAAACGAATGGTTTGACTTCCACAGCTACAAAAAGCGTAAAAGAGGACGTGCTGGGCAGCTCTTTGGACTGTGACGGAAAGTTGCAGGTTGTGTCGTCTCCATGCTAACACTGCCCTCCCCCTGCCCTTTTGCCCCTCATCTTAGTGATGCAATGGTTCATGTCCCTAGGGGGCCAGTACGACCGCCACGGCAACCTCAAGCAGTGGTGGACAGAGGAGTCCTACAGAAAGTTTCAGACGAAGGCTGAATGTATCGTCAAGCTCTATGATAACTTCACTGTTTATAACCAGAGGGTGGGTCTGCACACACACACACACACACACACACACACACACACACAGTCACACAATTTTTATGATCACATTACATTGAAATATGGGTTCCCTGATATTTTGGACCGATATTAGGATTCTATTGAAAACCATGTCAGTAAGTCGGTGTCCTCTAATATTATGCAGCCTGATGTATTAATAATACATCAAGCTGATAAGTTCAATAATATTCTGGTTATCTGTCTTTTACAATATTTTCTTCAGATTAAAAACAGATAAACATATATGTTCATTTAAATGTCCAGAGTGTGACATTTAGGTGGATCTATCCAATCACTGGCTGTCTAGACTCTAGAGTCTAGACAGAGGGCGTTTTTCGAGAGTTTTGCGGCCACCATAGTTTCTCCTACACACTAACAGGGCGTTGTAATCAGCAATTACACCGCTAGATACCACTGAATCCCACACACTGGTCCTTTAAAGGTCAGTTTACTTAGGAGTACTACTCAGCCTGTAAAAACAGTATCATGTCTTTCCCTATTATGGGAAATGTAGGATCCATGGTTTTTGGACCTAACTTGACCACTACCAGGAAGTAAAACATCGATACCACTCTCATATCTGTATGGTAAATGAGAAGTTAAACTAGCAGAACTAGGACTAGCAGCACTCTGTGTGGCGTCACCACTGGTTGCCTGGCAACAATGTTGGATTTTGTACAGACTAAACTAACGTATATAACATGTTAATTAGTCATCCTTAGAGGTGCCAGTAAGTAGATTTTTCACCTTTGGGCAGAGCAGGCGAGCTGTTTCCATTCTTTATTCTGAGCTAAGGTAACTAAGCTCTCCTGGCTCCAGCTTTAGATTTAGAGTACAGACATGCGAGTGGTATTAATCTTATCATCCAAACCTTGGCAAGAAAGTGAAGAAGAATATTTTTTTTTAAATGTAGAACTGAAATGATTGAATTGGCAAGATTGAGTCAGCGAGAACACACTTCACTGAAAAAATACTGGTGTTTGATATTGGCCTTTTAGTCACACGCCAGATCCAAGCACATTATTGAAGTGCATGTACATACCAGCACGCAAGTACAGAAGCAGAGATATTAAGACAGTTGAGTATTTCATAAGTTTCCATCCTGTATGTCTAGGTGAACGGCCGTCTGACACTGGGGGAGAACATAGCAGACATGGGAGGGCTCAAGTTGTCATACTATGTAAGTAATATTCAGCACCATCATCGTTCAGACACTGACTGTGGAGCACTTTGGTAGTAGGTAATGGTTACAGTGCATGCCGCATGGCCATGTGGTTGCCAGTTCGACTTCAGCCAGTGACCTTTGTTCCATGTAATGCCCTTCTCTCTCCCGTTTCCTGTCTGCCTCTGTCCCCGTCCAATAAAGGCAAAAATCGTTCAAATACTGTGGCTATGTGGCTTCACAAAACCTAAATATTAATGTTCACTCTGTCAATTTATAGCGCCTCTGTCAACTCACTCTTTGTTCTTCATAAACCACTTTGCTTTATTTTCATGAAAGTAGAGAGCAGAGGTGCGCCAGAATCAAGATAAAAGATAAACATTTTTACTTGAATTCCCTTTCTCTGTTTGTATCATTGTGGTGGTGTGTGTGTTTGTGTTTGCCTGGACAGCAGAGTATCTGGCATGCTGCATCTTTCAATTCCATATTGAGTGTCAGTGTTCTATATAAAAGCGAGGGGTGCTTTTTGCATGCAGAAACAAAAGTAAGTGAGCAAATGAGGGAAGGATTTTGAGTAAATTATAATAACAAAATGTAACAAAAGTGTCACAATGGCTGTTAGCCATGTCAATCAGTTAGATTAGCCGAAGTAAACATAACAAGTACATTTCCATCATGTTTCAGGGAGATTGTAAATGTCAAAATTGGTTTCAGATGTTAGTTTAACTTAGTACGCTACTTTGGACATGAGGTGAGGGATCATAATTTCATTTCTGTCTCCCGTCTTTTGTTATTCACTCCCTTCACACCTCTCTCACTCTCTCTTGCTGTCCAGGCGTATCAGAAGTGGGTGAGGGAACATGGTCCTGAGAGGCCCCTGCCTGGCCTTAGATACACACACGAACAGCTGCTCTTCATCGCCTTTGCACAGGTACAGAAGCCTGCCAAAGTGTTATCCTACAGCCTTTCATTACATTTACATGTTAAATCATTTTAGCTGCCACTCTCAGCAGGAGCGACCCATTCATAGAGAGCAGGTAGGGGTTCTATATCATCTCAACATTAGCTGATGGATGCATTAACCATTGGAGGGATCCAAAAAAGCAGCGTTGATGACAGCACAGTGGCTCTAAGCACTAGACCACCCCTGCTCCTTGTAACTATTACGACTATCATTGAAATTCAGTGCTTTCATTGAAATTCATGGCTTAATGTAACAGTAGCAAAATCTAGACCCACTTTTTAATGCAACTGGCATTCTTTTAGCACATTTTAAAATCTCTTGCCACGGGGAAGTGATGTGAAAATCATGTATATGTGCGTGCTGTTGTTTGAAATGTCACATGTGCATGTCCAGGGTGAAAGAAAAGCATCATTTTCAGCTGTGAGGCAATTCAATAACCCTTTTATGCACAGAGAATTAATGTGGTTCAGTCTGCAAATCTGCACAGCATTAAACATAATGACCTCTTAAATATCTAACTTCTTAAATATCTAACTACTGACAAATGCTGGGCTGCAACTAACGATTATATACTCAATATTATTTTCATCACAGAAAATAGTGAGAAAATAGTAAGATATTCGGTTTACTATTATAGATGATGATTTGAATGATTATTTAGGTAGAAAAGGGGAAAAAACGGATTCTGCTTCACACGTTTATATTGTGTATTTTTTGGACTTCAGTGAAACCGAACAGGGAAATCGTTTTTTGGTGGAACAACAAGGTTTCTGTAGGACTTTTAAGGCCCTTTCTAGACTAGGATGTAAAGATATAAAGGAAGACTGGTATTGGTTCCATGTAGGTTTTTTTGTTGTTATCACAGCATGATAAACACTCATTTATCCTTAAGCGAGACTTAAATATGTTACTTTATACAAGAAAGGTTAACTTGATTAATCCAATCAATTCTTAAGTCCTTTCAAAGTCATATTTAAGACATTTTAAAGCCTAAACTTTACTAACAACTAAAGATGATTGGATTTCAGATTTTTTTAAGACCCTGCGGACACCCTGTAACAACTCTTACAACAAATGTGGTGCAAGTACAATATTTCCTTCTGCTGTTGTGTGGAGTAGAAGTATTACTTTTTACTATTCACCCCTGGGAGAAAGACTGTCCCTTCTCACTTAGCGCTGTCCTGCTTTGGCTGAACTGTATCTAGATTGGGTCACTGCAGTGTTCATGTTGACCTTTCAGAACTGGTGCATGAAGAGAAGATCTCAGTCCATCTACTTGCAGCTGCTGACTGACAAACATGCGCCAGAGCACTACAGGTACAGTACACCCACATAAAGAACACACAGAAAGTCATAATAAATAATAATAATAATACATTTTTATTTATAAGCGCTTTTGTAAATACTCAGAGACACTTTACAAAAAACATAAAAGCAGCAAAACAACATCAAAGAGTAAAACATTAAAAACACATCAGACTAAGCTAAACATTAAAAGCATTTTTAAAAAGGTGTGTTTTTTCAGTGATTTGAATGTTGGAGGGTCGGTACAGTCATCATCGTGTTACATTTGTGTGTATTGTCTTTACATTTAAAGAAAGATTTCAACCTTACAATAAGCTTCTACTCCAAGATCCCCCACCCCCAAAAAAAGGTTTTGTAACTCTTTCATGATCTCTGCATTACTGTTTGACGTCCCTGTGTTTCCTCCCCCTGCAGAGTGATTGGCAGTGTGTCCCAGTTTGATGAGTTTGCCCGAGTTTTCCACTGTTCAAAGGGTTCCCCAATGAACCCTGTGGACAAATGCTCCGTATGGTGACCTCTCCTCCCTCCTGGTGACCTTGGGATGAACTTCATCTTCACACACACACACACACACACACACACACACACACACACACACACACACACACACACACACACACACACACACACACACACACACACACACACACACACACACACTAACCTATCCTACATCACACATTCATCAGAACCAACAGGATGATAAAGCCTATTCTTGCCTATGAAGGATACAGGAAGGAAGTGTATCTTTTCAACATTATCAGTAGACATTTTCAATGTGTGTTCTAACCGATCTAAAGCATGGGTCATATGACCAGTGATCATGTACATATATATCATTTGATCATATATATTTTTCTATGTTTAAAGTTATTTTCAAATCATCTATTTTTCTATTTTAGCAGATATATCACATACATTATGCGTAAGATTCATAAGCTACTTGGTTTTTAATTAAGCAACATGTTTCCTCAATTGTTTCTCTTCTTTGTAGCATCAAACTTCAACAGTGATTTTAGTCCCCGATGTAACCCGGACAAGGACCAATTAAAAACGAACTGAGATCAGTAGCATCCTTGTGCCTGCCAAAATGTTGTTCTTTCAGTTCGGTATATTGGAGTCCGACTTGTGTCGCAATGCTGCGCTCTTGTGGCTGCAGACAGTAAAGGTCACTGTTCAACCACCATGACCGTCGTATCGTTTGCCTGCATTGGTCCTCTTGTTACTGTGAGTGTTTGTACGGTTTATAAGATTTGTCAACTTTTTTAAGAAAAAAGAAGGCGGACTTGTGATGGATGTTTTTCTCAGGATTTGTAGCAAAGTGCAGCGCCAAATGGAGGATCTTTGTGTCTCGATCTATACTCAACTCTTCATCCTACAGTACAATCACAAAGGAGCTGGTACATTTATCAAACATTGAATAAACAAAGAGAAGACTGTTTTTGGATGAGCTGATCTGAGAGCTCTTTTCTGTTGAAAACGGAGGACTCACGTCTCCGTGTTTCCTGATGAATGATCTTACACAACCCGAGAAAGAGGGAGAGCGCCAGGTCATATTATACAGTACTTTCACAGTTAACTCACCAAATACCAGAAGCCAACACTGTACAGAAGAAAGTGCAACTATGGTAGATGGAGAATCATACACTTGTACGCAGTGTTATTTTAAAAAAATTACTTTTGTATAAATAATCTGTTGGTACAAAAAATAAGAATCTTTGTACAGTGGAGAAGTATATCAGATGTTATGGTTGTACAGTTTGTTTGATGAGAGTGCATGTTTCCCTCCTGACCATCATTCACAATTCTGATCGACATATGTGGAGGATCACACACACACGCCTGACTCTACAGCTGCTATTTCACACGTGGCTGCTATCTCTTCCTCTCTGTTGGTCACCGTTTAATGTTTGAATAAATACAAAGGTTCACTGTGTCATGTCGCTTTAGTCTGTGTTCAGGTGTGTGAGAGATGAGCTGTTTTTTATTAGTGTGATTGTTTGGATCCTCCAGCGATGTGAGCCAGCTCTCTCTTGGCCTCCCAGCGTTGGATGGTGGAAGTCCACCTCTCCCACTCCGCCTCCCGTTTGCGTAAAACCTGCAAAACCCAGCAGGAATCAAACACACACACATTTACATTACGAAACATCAACAAGCTTTTACCAATTTAACCAGTTGCAATCAATCTGCCAGTTTGAAACGGTGATTTTTCGAAGGTTTCTCCCTGAAGGTTTTCCTTTACTGCTGCACTGTGAACAGGGATCAGTTTGCGAGATGGGCTGCACTTATTGTGAGTTAAAATCTGAGCTCAGGTTTTAAGTGTCTGCACACTATTTCAGGCAACGTGTGTGCTTTCAAATGTGTTGCAATTAAAAGAAAGTTAATACATCATTTGGACCCATGGGAGTAGCCTCATAGTAAGTAGCATTTTGCACTATTTGTTCTCTCTTTAAATGTCCCCTAAATAAAATTAAAGGTGCTATAAAAAGGTGTTATATAGCTGTACATTCCAGCAGCCATCGCTAATGTGCTATAGAGTGCTCTATCAGTAACATGGGTGTCCCAGTCCCTCCTTTCTGCAGTAAACAGAGAATACATTTTGTGGAATCATGTTCCCATTTCATCCAATCAAGAGAAAGAACTCCACAAAGAGGCGGTCCTGAAGGGCAGGAAGCAGAATTTCAGTGTGGTGACATGGGGAGGAGGGACGGGACTGCTTAATGCAACAACGGATGGAAACGGATTTCACTTTCATCAGACACCCAGAAATCTATAAACAAGCATAAGACTATTCAGTCCTGCCAGCAGTGTGTGAGGCTGTACTTGCACACAGTGGTAATTTGTGCTTAATGCTTTCATTCATTCTATTCTCACGATGACAATACTACCATGCAGATGTTAATATTTACCATCTTAGTTTATCATATTAGCGTTTGCTAATTAGCACTAAACACAAAGTAAGTTATTCCCAGGTTGTCAAATACAGACACAAGCTGTGTTCAGTAAATTACAATCTGCAACCTCACAGCTGGATGCCACTACATCCTACACACTGGTCCTTCAAGGTTCAGTTCCATTTAATGTAGCACAGCCTTTCCAGTGAGCCAGCATGTAGAAAGGTGGCACCCTGCCTCTGTTTGGCCTGAATGGAACGGAACATTAATTAGTATCACTGGTAACACCTGTGTTTACCCTACTATTTCATGATGGCTGTGAAAAAGGTCTATTCTATCCATTTGTAAAGTACCCAAGCTGTTGGTCCACCACAACAAACCAAATGTCAGCTTTTCAGAATTAAAAAAAATTTAAGAGTTTAGTTAATAGCTTGCTGACAATGAGATTTTCAATTTATTGTCTTAAAATGTATGTAAAACCTAAAGCAACTGGTGGACAAATCAATAGACTACATTATTCATTTTGATCGTGAGTAAACAATCTTGAGTCAATTGAGAACATCAATCTATATTACACAACTGAAAATATTCTCCACTAGAATTGCTTCGAGAGATCAGTGGTTATCGAAATATCACTGGGGAATATTAAAAAAAGATAAAGACAAACTTAAAGGCTTATTTCTACACATCAAATCAGGAGGTCTAAATATCAGAGATTTACAAATGGCTAAATATGCTTTACTGCTGAGCCGCAAAGTTTCAGTGGCTTCGAGGAACTATCATTTATTTTAAAAAGTTCAAGCTTCGCCTTGAACCAAAAGAAAGCCAATACAAGACATTACAACAGACGGACCTGTGATAACTGAACAGTATTAGTAAAACATTATGGAAAAACGAGAAAGAAAATGCCTGGCACATACCTGCTGGGAGTCCATCCCGTCCTGCGGGAGCTTACTGTCCTCTTGCTCCTCAATATTCTTGATGCTCTGTGGACACAGTAGACTCATATCATATTATCTACACAGGCTCACAGTGACACAAACATACACCTTTAAGCCAAAAGATACAAGATTACTGGCCAGGGACTGACTCAAGTTTAAGATTCTTCCATTGTGAGTTGCTTGTACCTGTCCTGGCCTTGCCTCACACATGGTCCCAACCTTATCTCCTCTCTCTGTACTAGGACTTAACAAGAAAGGGTTTTTAAGGACAATACAAGCCTCAATCTTATAATGAATATTCTAAATGAACGCTATCAAAAGCTGTCATTTTGTGCCAATATTTAAGGGCTTCAAATCTGAGCTGTTAGATAATTAAAAAATAATTCAGTGTATCCTCCAGAATTGTAATCACGTCAGGTTGGAGATGACTGAAACGACATTTTAACCATTACAGGACACTGAAAGTTCACAGAACCACATTAAATCAGTTTAGGTGACATCATCAGTTGTGTTTGATAATTTAACAGTAGTTCATTGAGGAAGCATCTTTATTATTACGGTGTGCAGGGGAACATTACTTCGACTTTCTGAGAGTTGTCCTGTGAATCTCTGCTCTTCTGTCGCTGCCTCCTCTCTTCTCTGATACGAGCCTTCTGTTTGGACACCTGCTGCTCCAGCTCAGACACCTGCTGGCGGAGCTCTTGGTTGGCTTTGGACAGGTCGCCTGACCCGGTTGACGAGTCCTTAACTGTCATTTTTAGCTAGGCAGGGTAACAGGAAATTCCCAAAAAGCAAAGTAAGAAGGACAAACCCGAGACACAACATGCAAGAAGAGTGCTAGTATGATTTATTATTTATTTTACATTGATGAATCAGTAGCTGAGGAATTTTAAGAAAGTATGGGATGAGAAGCCTGGCAGCCTCTACTGTTTTGAACACAGCATCAAAAGAAAACAGCACAGTCAGAGGTAAGGATTTTCAATAAGGATTATGCATGTCCATACATATTTACATATTTACACACTTCAGTAAATCTCTCAGCAGCTTAGAATTGTTTTTGGCTTTACTCTGTATTTGGAGGTCTTTCAACACCAGTCTGAGGCTGGGATACTGTTTAATCAGGGACTTCACAAGATGTTATGTTACGCTGGAATATCTTGTATCTGCACAGAATTTTCTCAAAACAAAAAAATCAATATAACAGAATAAAACATTTGTGCCATTTGGTACCTCTGTGATTTCTCGATGCAGCCTCCTCATTGAAGAGTCATATTCTCCCCTCATTCGTTGCTTTATGGCGCCCAGCTCTTCAGACAAACGACCAATCTTTGTCCGAGCCACGTGTAGCTCTTCATCTCTGCAGTGCACGGTAACGATGTCATTATAACATGGCATATAGGATGTCTTGTTCACACACTCTCATCAAGCACTTTTCTGACAGCATACCTTAGTGTGATGGTGGCCTGGTACTGGTCTCTGGCCTGCTCCAGTTTGCTGTGTAAACTGCTGTTGGTAAACACAGCCTGCTCCACACTCTGGGCGAGCCTCTTGTTGTCAGCTTTGGCTTTATCCAGGGCCTTCTGTAAGGATTCCAGCTGGAACACACAAGGCAATAAATACACCATTGTAATTATACCAGAATGTTAATGCAAACATTAACCCACTAAGGGGGACCAATGGCAAAAAATGAGTTGTGAGCCCAGGTTGACCACTTGCTACTCCCCCTCTTTGTGCACTGTGTATGTATCCTGGCAACTTTGAGTTCCCATAAGGCACGCAGCAGACTATACATGGCACCTTCATTATACTTTGCCTGGAGCCCAGTACTTCTAGGCTAATACTACACGCCTCACAGTTTGTTGTAATTTAATTCATCACAAATGTATTTAGGAATATAAGCCATGTAAGCACAATATCAACCGAAATAAAAGGTCTTAAAACTAGATTTGAGTGACCCACAACATTAAGTCACAATGAACAAGGAACAGTTCAACATTTTGGCTGCCACAGCCAACAACTGGTTAGCTTAGCTTAGCATAAAGAAAGGGAAACAGCTAACCTGGTTCTGTCATGTATAGTAAGTCACTATACCCGACCAGAAAAGAGTCATTAATTAAGTCTTGGAATTTGTTCATCATTTTCATTAGTGTTCTGTGGGTTTTCCACTCACTTTGTATTTCATCTGTAATCACAACATCAAAAGGCCCTAAAATAGTTGCCATTGATATAATTGCACAGCTGCACAAACTGTGTCGCTTACTTGTCCCGACTGCTGTTGAGAGACTGAAGTGAGAGGGAAAAATGTAAACAGAACTTCCTTAAGTAGAGTTAAAAGAGTTTGATTTCTATAATTCTTATATTTTTGGTATATAATGCATGCGTAAGATAAAATCTTTTCATCCTAATATCAGTTATCAGTTGTTATTGCAGTATGCATTTACAACTAATAGGCTGATAGTCCACAGAACGTTTAGGTACTGAGTGAAGAAAAGCAATGCAGCCATACTACATCAGCTTAGTATACCTTCTTAGAACGGCAAGACATGACCAAATGACAGTTTCTACCAATAATGTTTTAAAATATTTTGACCACAGTTATTTCCATTCTTTTCACACTTGCTAATTTTTAATTTGCAGTCTTTAAAGTTGTTTTTTTGGCTCAAGCAATTAAGTTATTTCTGCCCCAGACTTAGAGAAATGTATTTTCTTCATTATAGTCGCCTTCTCAAGCAAATACTTCAGAGGAATCAGTGAATATAGGTATTTCTTGACATGAATTAGTGAGAAAATATGAGCAACTTCATCTACAAATATCAAACATGTACATATATACATTTCAACAAGAATTCTGGTCTAGTGTTTTTAAGTAGCTTATACAGCTTATATAAAGTGTGTGTTTGAGTGCATCTGTTATAGAAGCAGTGTGTCCTTACAGCTCTGTTGCTCTTGGAGTGAGTAGATGTCAGGAGTTGCTGGAGTTTTTCCACCTCTGCTTGGTGTTTCCGGATTTCTCTCTGAGCCTGCAGCCTGGCACACAGGAAAGCAACACTATAACATCACAAGTTATACAGCTTAATATCATCCAAATACACACACTCTGGACATGCATGTATGATTTTAAGATGATCAGTCATGATGCTGAAAGTCAAACTTTATCTTACATACATTGTACTGTAAGCTCTAGACTGTGTCTGTTAAGGCCCTTATTAACTGTATTGTCAAAGGTTTTTGTTCTTTACTGTATAATATTATTAGTGCGCTACAGTAAGTTTGACTTCAAACAATACTTACAGTCTCACGAAGAAATCTTACCTTACACGATATATGCGCAGATAATTATTAGATTCATTTACAGTCTAGACACGGTGTTGAACGTATTCCTAACAATGTCACAGGATAAACAGGCACACACACTTCATACTGCTTCTCCATCCAATCACGCAGTGTTTGTAAACCCCATTCAGCTCTGACCTGTCTTTCTGCTCCTGCTCTCGCCCCAGGGTCTGACCGTTGAGCTGGATTCTGGTATGGGAGGCTAGGATGTCTTCAAGGGTTTGACTGACAACACCCCCTCCAGGACCACAGACAGCCTCCAGCTCACTGATCTACAGCACAAGACAGGTGATGTTACTGCTCACTGTGAGGACAAGTATGATGATTTGATTTGTAAGTACACTCGAGATCAGAGAGATAGTACTCAGGTTAAACCAAGGTTTCTTGTTTATCAGGAGGAAAAGTCTGTGAAAGCTACAGTATAAAGCGCTCGGTATATTTGCTGTTGCCGACCTGTCGAGCGACAATGTGATGTCACGGGAGCGCCGTAACTATTTAAGGCTTGTGTATACTCGCCGTTCCAGACCTGTCGCGTGACAACGTGATCTCACTGGCGCGCCAGGATTTTGGCTCGGCCGCGCCAGGTCGCACACCACTCTTTTTTTTTCACTAGTGTCGGGACCACCACGCAAAAGTATAAATATTAACGGCACTCCTGTGACGTGACATTGTCACGCGACAGGTCGAGAACAGCGAGTATACCGAGCACTTTATACTTGCGCGTGGTTGTCACGACACTAGTTGCAGTCTTCTCCTGAACAGAGGTGTCTCTACTGAGGAAAGGCTACCGACTTTGCTATTTCTAGGCACTAGAAGAATTTTAAAAATCGGTCGCGGAGGTTCTTCCAAATTTTCCAGCATATGGCCTCCTCTTTTCCAACATTCATGGCAATTTCTCACCATGAGTTATGGCACCTGTGGGCATCTCTGTGTTCCTTCATTGAAGGATCGTACAGATCGTCCATCTTCCTGTTTCCGCTTTGGCGCGCTCAGCTGAAAAAAAAGAGTGGTGTGCGACATTTGCGCGACCAGGCCAAAATCTTTTTTGACATATGTCATATGGATTGTCATATGTCATATGTTTTGGATTAAATTACTATAAGTATGAGAAAGGGCGTAGCATCCTGCAGTTCCTTGTAGCTCTAAGGGACATTTTTGCATCTTTGTTTTGGTGTAATGGCCCAGGACTGTACTGTTTTGGTTCAGTCTCACCAGTATTTACTACTACTTATAAACTTATTTTCGAGTTTCCAGACACAGCAGGCGAGAAAGCTCTGGTGAATCTAGCAGCTAAAGAGCCAGATATTTTCATCAGGAGTTTAACATTGGACTTACATTCATCAGTTGGAGACAAGCACAATTCCAAATGAATGCTTATGTTCTTCTGTAGCAGCTGGATGTATAAATATGTTTGCTAACATGACCACCCCATTAACTTTATGAGCTTGACACTATATGATCAGAAAATCAGTTAATGCTGGGTAAAATCTATTCAGCTGTGCACTGGAGTAATTCATTTAAGAAATAAGAAGCCAAAATTGATTTCTAATCAGTGTTTGCGTGTATGTGTTATACCTTAAGTTTCCCTTTCTCACAGGCCGGCTTATTCTTGTCAGTTAAGTCCTTCAGCATCTGGTCCACCTGTTGCACCGCATGCTGCATACAACCATAAAGACACACACACAATCTGAACAACTGTGCCCATCTCAGGCATTCCTGCTGAGCAAGACTTTGGCACAATTAAAAGTCCATTCATAACTATTAATGTGTATAAGTAGATCTGTAATGATGACCATATGGTGACCAGTATCTCACCTGTTGCTGCTCTAAAGCAGCCACCTTTCCCATGAGCCTCCTGTTCTCATCCTGCTGGCTCTGCAAGACTGAGCACAGAGATCCCACCTCCCACTGCCAATCACAAGTTCACAGGCCGCCAACATGGCCAGAAGTTAGTTCAATGCCCAATGGGTGAATGTATAAGGTATATAAGGTATTATATGAGGTGGGGTGGTTTCTAGCTAATCCTACCTTGGCCTCACTAAGTTGGGTCTCCAGGCTGCTCCTCTCACCTTCCAACTTAGTGACAACAAGACATAACTGGTGGCCGAGGAGAGAATGGACAGGAGGGATTGTTTTACTCCTTGGTACAGCACTACCCGATCAGGCAAAAATAGAATTGCTTTTTTTGAATATACCTCATTTTTTGAATCCTCCAGGTCTTTCCTCATTGCCCCCTCTTCTTTTTTGGCCATGTTCAGCTCCCCCCGTAGCCTCTCAGTGGTTCGCTCCAGTAGTTCCCTCTGAGTGGCCACTGTCTCTTGTGCAATGGAGGAGCTCTGCAGGAGCTTTGCATGTTCGCCTTTGAGCCTCTCTCTGAGGAGAGACAGTTTTTAAATCTAAAAGGTACTTCCAAAACTTAAAATACGTTTACTTTCAAATACATCTCTAGCATCCTGAATCTCTGCACTGAATGCCAGACTTATGCTGTTATTTTAGGTGGTTGGGTTCACAGTGAGACAGGTTTCATTAAATACTGACACCAAGGAAGAGTCAAAAACTGAACAAAAATGATTCATATCACCGATGGATCACAGAGACAGACTGTGGTTTTTAATAAAAGACAAATATCAAATATCAGTCTGAGACTTTGCAAACCAATATATCTGTCTAACCTTACTGTTCTCAAATGTTAGAATGTCCCCCCAACCAATACTCATCTCTTATGAGACAGTGAACTTGGGGAGAAAAGAGAAAAAAGAGAAAGAGGCTGGAGACAAATGCAGTTCCTAATGACAGCTGATTATAGTCTCCTGATGGCCCAATTGGCTACAAAGTTAAAAGATCATTAGTTAAATGATGGGAGGTTTGAGTGTTAGGCATAAGAGACTCACAGCTCCAGCTGCAGACTAACTTTATGTGTTAGTGCCACCTGCAGCTCAGTCTGAATATTGGCGCCCAGCTGCAGGTCTCGCTCTTGCAGTTGCTTGACCACACGACTCATCTCGGCCTAAAAGAGAAGCAGTGAGAAAAAAGGAGTCTTGCTGTGGTTCATATCAGGTGTGTGTGTGTGTGTGTGTGTGTGTGTGTGTGTGAGATACCTTTAAGCTGGCCTGATGTTTTTCATTCTCCTCTGTGAGTGAATGCAGGGCAGAACTGAGCTGGGTACACTGACTCTGCAGCTGCTTATTCAGGGTCTGTTTAAAATATATATATAAACATTAAATATTGATATTTATTTGCAGGGCATTAGACATGATCACCATTAGTAGAAAGTATCACTGTTACATTGCACAAAACAGGACAGAACACAGTTGCTATAATTTCAACTTAAAATTTGAATTATTAACCTTTCAACTTTGTTTTTGGGGTCCATTGTTGAATCTTTAATGGTAACTACATCAATCTGATCACTGGCATAATTTGCAAACTTGTTATTTGGATTACTGTAATTCAAGTTCTGTCATATTTCAAAGCTCGGAAAACCTACTATAACTTTCAAGTTATTTGACTTTTCCTTATTTGATTGTGGTGAAACACTGAAGAGCCCACAGTCTGCAGTGGTTGCATGGTTTAAAATACCTGATGAATAAAGAAATATTCCTTTAAGGCTCCTGACCTGGACTCTGTCAGCAGCAGCTCTCAACTCTGTGCCCTCCTTCAGCAGTTTACTGTTTTCTGTCTGCTGCCTCTGAAGGGCCTGACAAACACTCTGACACACACACACACACACACACACACAGACACCCACACACAACACAAACACACACACACACACACACACACACACACACACACAGTATTCACACAAACAGAAATACAGTGTCATAACATGTGCTACAGATCATACATTTTACAGGCGAGGAATTTCTGAGGACAGTTTCATTCACTGATCTGTCTCTCTCTACTTACTTTCAGGTCAGTTTTCAACTCAGACATGAGGGAGTCCTTCATTTCTGTGAAAATCAAATGGAAGAATGCAGTTCAACATCCAAACATTATATCACATGTGAAGCACTGAGAAATATCAATAACACAAATATGACTTGTGGAGTACCTGACTAACCTTATATAAAACCAAATCACAGTGAGAGTCCTGTTAGATAACCTTACTCGTTCTGAATCTATCTATATCTACGGGTACCTAAGATTTTTACTATGTTGTCCTGTGTATGATTGTGTAAGTGAGAATAAACTTGAACAAAGATTTGATAGCTAGGAAGGAAACAACAAAAAACAAATAAATAGGAATGTAAAGGTACATCGTAATAATCTCAGGACCATCGGTGAGAAGACTGAGTTTAATGCCTGCCACCAGGTCAGATTATTTTTGAGATCAAAGAGGTGGTAGAAACACTACCGCTTTTGTCCACAGGGGCCGCCAGAATCAACACAAAATGAAAGTTCCTTGTAGGGGCTCAATTTGCAAGGCAGGCTCAAAGGAATACTTTTTGGGATGACTCATGTTGTGATTCAGGGTGTATTTTTACACGAAAATCTTGCCTTTCGACAACAACAACTATCAGGCCCATGATATAGGCTACACAATACGTTTAAGTGACCAAAATAATTCTGAATCAGCTCTACACTTGACTAGCAGCTAGTGGAATATACTGTCTCAGAAACCCTCCGGCAGCATCCTGTGATGGTTGCAGCACAGCCAGAGCTCACTGGTTTTGTGTCCCCTGATGCTCCTAACCTGTCTGGTCTTTGAGCCGCTGACAGTGCTCGTCCAGCTGTCTGCCTCTGTCATTCGCTTCCTCCAGTTGCCGCTGGCCGGTCTGGACTTCCACATGCAAGGCATGGCAATCCGACTGCAGCAGCAGAGCCTGTGGGAGCCGGAGGCAGACAACATGTCAGCTGCTGTTTACACATGCTCATTACTCAGTGAGCTCTCTTACAATCTACCTGTCTCCTCTGCATTTCCACCACTCTCTCCATCTCCTCCACCCGCTGGTGAAGCTCATTGTGAGATCTTGTGGCTTCGGCTAAACGGGCAGACTCCTGCCTCATCTGCTCTTTCATCTGAAATCAGAGGAGAGTTTTGTTAAGATGGTTCATTTTCAGCTGGTCAGGGCTTATAAACTAAATGTCTGATGGTTGGGGATAAAAGAGCTAAAATAGATTAAAATAATTAGGAGCCACTCACCTCCTTCAGTCTCTGACTCATCTCTAATTTGACAATCTTCAGTTCCTCAGCAGCGAGAGCCACATCCATCTGGAGCAAAAGACAGTTACAACCCATGACACAATGACCACTACAGTGCTCACTGTGCTCCTACAGCACGTCAAACACATCAGTTTAAAAAGATTTTCAAACAGATTTGTTGTCCCCTTGGACCTGTTTTCTTTGCCAAGAAGACACTGATCACTGTAGTTTACAGTAATTAGATCCTGGTGCAATAAGCACAGTGCAAAAAATCAAATCTTACAGTAACAAAAACTGAAGAGAAAATTTGATTTTGATTCAGAATTTGTTGCCAATATTGATGTTTAAAACGACAAATTTGGCCAACATGTCTCTGCCTTGAGTCTATTTCTCTTCTCATCTATGATGTGAGATGCAGAGCCGACAGCCGTCCACTGTCTGTGCTGCTGACATGGAGCACGTACTGTAGGTATTTGCGCCAATGTCAGCATTTGTGCCATTGCTGGAAAACCGAGGTGATTATTTCTCCAGTATCCGAGTTGGAAATAACCAACATAACATTTAGCCAGCACAAAACTGATGCGACACAACACATCAACATTGTCCACTGACATCGGTGAATGCCATCTTATTTGCCAACAGGCTGGTGTTAGTCAACAAGCCGAAAATTGTCCGATGCTGAAGTTCGCTAATAAATTTTTATCAAAAAAGGGAAAAAAAAAAAAAAGGTTTTTAAAAAAAAAAAAAAGTCGGAAACGTAAATGTTTAAACATCATCTGAAATGAAATCTCTTGCAAGAGAAGATGAGCCTTAAAGGAAAAATAAAAAAAAAAAATTTGCATCTTGCCAAGTCCGCTCGCTAAAAAAGGTGCAAGTACATTTTTAGCGTTTAAGGTTTGGAAAACACAATAGAGGCCAGAAAGAGATTTCTGAACACCAGACAACTCAGCAGTTTCTGAAATATCCATTCAATCATTTACAGTTGACTATCATTCCTCAGAACCATTTACTCAATAGCATTATCATAAAAGCAAAGGGTGTGAGACATATGTTGACTTTGGTAAACTAACTTATTTATTTTGAAGTGAAAGCAAAGGTGATTCTCATAAAACTGATCCAATCTAGCAGTGTTGTGTATATTTGTTATCTCTACAAGAAAATGGTGAATTATAGTATAGTTACTTTGGCAGCAGTAGCTGCCTCCACTGTGTCCCCCAGCCTCTGCACCTCTGTGCGAGCTTCGTCTCTCTCCTGGTAAGCCTGCTGAAGTTGGTCCCTGAGCTTCATCGCCTCCCTCCTGGTGGTGTGATGCTCCTCCTCACTCTGCCGCTGCAGCGCTGCCAGCTGCTGCTTCAGATGAGCTGCACCAACAAATATAGAAGAGAGCAAAAAACGTAACAACAACGTCCGAATCTGCCTGTTTTTTCTGCCCCACTACTCAATATCCACACAGCTTTTGTTTTCCTAGTTAATATCCATAATTCTAGTGATCATTAATAGTGATATGTCTTAGTAGCGCCTCTCTCTGCTCTTGTTGGGATTCCACTGAATGGCTGCACCCTGACTGTAGCTGCCACTGTAACATACCAATAGACTTATTGAGATCACTAATGTCTTCCCCTTATCTCCGTTAGCTAATTGGATTACATATGAGCTATTACCTGTGTGAGAGGGATCCAATTCTTTCTCAGTCTCCAGACGGAAGATGGTGAGTTTGAGGGTCTGTAGCAGACTTTCCATGCGACACACCCTGCTCACTACAGAGTCACAAAGCATGCCCTCATCCCCAAAGACCCGACGCATCTTCAAAGGACTTATAGGCCGTTGAGTGGCGCCCATTCTCTCAGCAGATCCCAAGATTTGGTCCCTGGACACCCCCAGTACACCCATGTCTTGAATAAGAGCTTCAGCCTCTTCCTCTGCCAACAACAGGCGCTGGTGGAGAAGAGACAGAGCCTCTGGGGCTGTGGCCCCAACGCTGAAGGGCGGGACAGCTGAGCGTGACATCCCTACAAAGGGGGACTGGGTGCAGGTTGGAGTGGGGGAGAGCAAGCAGCCCTTTGCAGGTGCACTTGCGCCGACTCTTAAACTCTATCCATGATTACTTTTCAAAATTCCTGGAAAATTAAAAAGTTAAGATAAATGGCTAAATATAGTTTGCTAAATATTCTGGAACCTCATTCCACAATAAATACATTGCATAGCTAAACCAAATTACAGCAAAAACTAGGGATAGGATGATATACAACATTATCGCATACAAAAAAACACACATCCCATTATAGTGATAATTATTATATCTTTACTTGGCTTGAATTTAAAAAGCTGTATAGCTTGCCAGCATACAGTCTTATATTGAGTTCCTGATTTATTCTGAACAAAGGGAAAAGGGGGAGCACACCTCTTTCCAGTCATTCCAAAATCCTAACCCTGTCACCATGGCTGAAGGCTCGGACTGCCTGTTGGATGGATGGAAATACCAAAAGAAAGAACAGGGAAATGAGGTGACTGTCTGGACGCAGTAAATCTATGTTTCTTAACAAAATATAAGGTAAATTGATTCCAGTATGTTTTAGTGCCATGTTAAAAGTATTAAGTATATTTTCATGATTATCGTGATAATATGATATAATATAGTATATATATAGTTATATAGTGTCACCATTTTTTAGATGGTCCCATGTCTACCAAAACTCACTACAATACAAAAAATCCTTGTTTTGTGGCCTCCCTCATAGCCAATTCACCACTTCATCAAACACTACAGTGGACACACAATACAAGTTTGACTAAACTGTTGAACCTCTTATAAGTTCCAAAGGCTGTAAGTAACTAACTATCAGTTTATCAAATGCCAGAATAAAGTAGAACCTTATAGAGGAAGGATACAGTCTATTGTGAGTGAGTCTGTAGTTTTTCTATGAATGAAGACAACGGCGCGTGAACAAATCACGGCAGCCGCGTGTTTGAGCTATCGCGCACGAGACTACAGCAACAACTTCAATACGGCGTCGCGTTGAGGGAAATAGTCCGAGAAAAGTTACTTTATTCTTCTTTACAGTCATACAAAGTGTTGGATAAACACTCAGCTGTTTGCTCTCACCGTTACAGTCGCTACTTCCGGCATCTTTCTCCATAGCGACGCTTCTTTCCGTCCCACCGTGTTTGTGTTGCATTCAACAACTATCGGAAAAACCTACATTATCACTTGCGCGCACCACAGCAAAGAGGTAAATAAGTTAGGCCTAATGTACAATCACAAATGGTACGGTGGCTCGAGTGGTGGGAGAAGTATTCAGATCATTTCAAAACAAAATGTTTACTTTCTGGAGTGAATTGCCTTTCTTCTCCACTTACAAACAATGATTTATGTTGTTCAGATTTTCATGAAGAGTATGCATATGTTTGTGACTGTCCAAAAACGTTATTAAGGTACTGCTGTGACGTTGGTCTGAAGTTACGAACATTTACTTATTTATTTTATTTCTGAAATAAAGTGTGTCGACACATAGGTACAGGAATGTAACTAAAAGCTGCCGTTTTTGGCAAAAAATAACACAAGAATATAACGTTAGATTTATGTCGGTGTGACCGTTAATTTTTACCGGTAGTTTTTTTTCCTCTGAGAGAACTTGTATTTAATCACAAAGTTTGGGCAATGTATCTAAATGTCCTGACTGCATAAAGGATTACAATTTAGCAGCAGCCCTTTATTCATTTTGACCACTAGTCGGCGCCAAATGCTTAATCAACTAGCACTGGCACTTGAGGAAGACCGTGAACATCTACAAGCTCTTACTTAGTCTATTGACAACGTCCAGGTTGACCATATTTACAGCACAGTACGCACAGTACTGTGATTGATTGCTTGATATTATTATAAAATTAGTAGGCAGGCTTGGTAACCCACAGGTCACTAAATAAAATCAATGCAGTTGGAGCAGTGTTTTTACCCAGTGGCTCTTTTTTTCCATTTCTCTGTCAAAATGTGTCATGCTCGTCCAGTCCCAAGGCTGGAGTTCCTTTTATTGTGCCATTATAGTATTAGTAAAACCCCTATCACATTTTCAAACTTTCATAAGCAGATGCTTTTGGCTTTGTCTTTCTTGTTTAAATGTAACTTCTCACTGCAAAGATATTACATTTGGACAACACCATACTATTCTTAGACTCAAATTGTAGGCTGTACAACTGCTGATTTTTTTGGAGGAAATATCCAATTCCTTCTGGAATCATAACACTGCACACTTCCCATGGTCATTAACTTACACAGTACATTTATTTGAATCAAATTGTTAGTACTTTCACTGTGCCATATAGTATACCCCTGCAGCCCCCATGAGGCAGGGCTCACCTGTCAACAACTACTATGATAAGAATATATATATATATTATTTTTTTTTAAAAATGTGCACATCATGATATTGTCTGTTTTCAGACCCAATACTGGTGTAGAAATAAAACAAATAGATATGTGCTCCACTGTCCCCATAGCTTCAGCGTCAAGTGAGGGAGAGTCGAGCTACAGAATGCGCCTCGCAGCCTCGATGTCAGGTGAGGGGGAGCCCGGTGTGCCTCTGACAAGAAAGTATCCTGTGAGGGAGCTGGAAAACATCCGCCTCACAAAGGTGAAAGAGACACACACAAATACACCTTGACTGTGTCAAGCTACACAAAAGCAAACTAATGCAGAGAATGCATTTCTTGTTAAGTTGTGCTTCACTAACATACTAACCTCTCTCTCTTTGAGGTCTACTTCTGGGGCTAACTTTCATGGAGTACATGCATGAGAATGCAGCCACAGGACCCAGCTGGTGTCAACAGTCTTTGGAATTCGGGGGATGAAGGTGGTTTCTCTATGAAAGATGTTCAAATGTGTCTGCTCTGTATGGGTTAGCTGCTTCATATAGCAGATAACTACGCAAAAATGGCAAAAAACGAAATACTCAAATAACTACGCAGCTATGAATTTAGTTCAACTACTAGTTTTATTACAAGTAGTTCATCACTCCCCACACTACCTATATGTATTGTTAATCCCAATAAAGTAAAAAAACAACAAAAAAACCCCCCAAATAAAATAGAAAAATAAAAAAAGACAAGTAAAAAAAAGCTGCCACTTAGTTTAATCTCAGAATTCCAGAATGGTGACTTTAAAGGTCCTGTGTGTACAATTTAGCAGTGAGGTTTCAGACTGGAAAAAGGCTGTGTCTACAGCCGGTGTTGTCTGTTCTGGGTTACTTTTAAAACATGGCGGTGTAATACGTAGGACTCTACTTATGACCAGCTCCCTTTAATATAAAGGGCTCATTCTCAGGTAATTCCTATTTTCAGCTAATTATATAGTAATGAAAAGATGCATATGAACATTATATTCCATTTCTATCGTTAGATCCTCCTAAATGTTACACACTCTACTGTTAAACTAAGAACGTAAATATATTTTTCGTATTCCCGTAATCCTCTTCCGTAAAGAGGTTTGATGCAAGTTGCCATCAAACCTTTAGAAACAATCAATGGCGTCTTAATTAACCGTACTTGAGAATTTCAAATGTTCTGCACAACCAAACAGGACTCCGAGTGAACTATTGATATGAACACAAATCTATTCTGTGTTTACTGTGAACAGAGACATAACGCTGTTGGTTCACTGTTATACGTGTGTGATGGTATGTGAGGAGTGTTTTCGGCTGTTAATATCAACCAGTTTGCTGCTTGGTGCTGGACAGATACAGCCTGTGTCTGCTCTCATTGGCTGTAGCTCCTTACATGGCTCCCCAACACGATCGCATATTTATCTTGCAAAAACCCGGGCTAACATCCTGTAGTGAGGATTTACTGACAAATGAGATAAACCTTGTGGTCCTGAAGGTGTGAGGAGGGTGTAAAATGTGTGCCATGTGCCAGTCAGTCTCAGATTGCCCCGAGGGTGCAAATAGTGGGCGGATATCATTTTTGAATCAACACAAGAACAAATCATCATTGACTGACAGCACAACATGGCACATTCACTTGTCACTATGTATCATGTATAGGGGTGTAAGAAAGCCCAACAGGTCAAGGTCCAACAGCACTCTCTACTGGTGCAAAGACAACTAGCAGTGAACAAGTCAGGACATGCGCAGTCACACTGAAAAGCAGCAAACCAGTCAGTGAGCAGTCCATGTGACGCTGCATGGACTTTCTGTGTGTTTCCCTAATGATGTGTGCGTTCTTGAGGAAATGTAAGTAGTTTCTGCTTGTAGTCATGGATAATTTGATCACTATTGCGGTTTGTGTTATTTTACATGGAAATATGGTGTGTGAGTTTGAGTTAGCTACATTTGGATTGTGAGGACTTAATGATGAATATTTCGTTTGTAATGCTAATATTGCAACTCAGTCTATTTGTTGTGATTGTGACCATGCTTATTGTTAATAGCGTTTAAAGGTCAAATTATTTACTGTGGTTCACAGTCAGTATGTAAAGCTCCCATGCTATTTAGCATGCTTTGCCTCTGCTAATGTTATGTTGGAAATTGTACTGCTTATTCCACTACTGATATTGCATCTTTGCTGTTGTATTATGCTTAAATAGCAACTTATTTAGAGATGTTTATTTGATTTAACTGCTGAATAACATGTTAAGCATTGTTGTAATACAGTTTATTTATTTTATTTATTTTCAGACCACACACACACAGACACACAAACACACCCACATATGTTGAACAGTAATGTTAAAGCCCGAAAGCCGCGTTAAAGGAAATCAAATCAGATCTCTCTCTCCACGTGCCTTGATTCTCTGACCGGAATCATAGTCCATAATCTGCCGCCTCAACCAGCAATCCTTTTACAGAGGCTTGCCCTCAAACAAGGGGCATGAAACCAATAGCATTCTCAGTCATGTGTATATAAGCAGGGTCATAGCAGAAGTCACACTTGGGAGGAGAAGGATTTATTTGGTGTTTTTTTGTTGATCAATTTTAATTTTCAGTACATGTCTTTTATTTTATTTTCCGAGACCAATTTGGTTTTCTAGTCTTGCTCTTTCCTGGTTTTTCACTATATAGGCCAACTTTTGTGACACAAAATAACAGGTTCAAGTTCAAGTGTAAGCAAACGGCCAACACAGAAACTGTGGAATCTTACTGCAGTAAATGTATTCTTTTCTTTAAAGTTGCAGTCCAGTGTGTTACATTTAGGAATATATGTTTGCAGAAATGGAATATAATATTCATATATTTTCCACGGACGCCACCATGCACCACCATGTACAGTAGCCCAGAACAGACAAACCAAACACTTTTTTTTCCTTTTTGTGGCCACGCTTGGAAGGCTGGGATGTATTCACATGGTTGCCTTCTGTATTGAATCGTTCGTCACTATCACTGAATTAGGTCACACAGTGGTAATTGAGCCTATGGCCCACTGATGACGGTACTGCAATATCTATATGTCTGCACTATTAGGAAATGTGTGTCATGTTGCATTACAGTTTTTCTCCATTGTTTACACACAGAAAAATATGCACACGATTCTGAAAACTTGACACTCATGTGTTAACAAGACTCCAGACTGCTAAACTTGAAGTACAACTTCACTCAAATAGAAATTCTAAATTACAATTACAGAGTTTTTAATACGTGTACTAGTAACTACTAAAACTACTGGTACTACAACTAGAACACTCCAAGATTGCAGAGTTACTTTTGGTTCCTAGTGTCTCCACAGGTGGAACCGGGAGCCGGAGCCTTCAGCTACTAAGCTCCTCTTCTGTGGAACCGCTCCTAGTTCGGGTTCAGAGGCAGACACCCTCTCCACAGTAAAGATAGGGATAAGACGTTCCTCTTTGATTAGAGTTAGGGCTGGCCTAACCATCCCTTAGTCATGCTGCTAAAGGCCTACACTGCCCGTGATGCACCATCCCCCTCCATCTGTATACATTCATGTCCCATTAAGCTAGTAATGCGTGTCAGTAATTTGGCTTCTTCCCAGAAGTTTTTGTGCTTTCTGATTTCGCAGGTTTCTATGGATCGTGCATTCACCTGCTGCCATGATCCACCTTCACACCCACTGGTATTATTAACATTATTTGTCATGTTAATTATTATTTTAACTTTTGTTGTTGATGTGCATCGCTATGTTTCTCACTCAACACCCTGC